TGGACTAAATATCTAAGTCAATCAGAATCCAGGAAGTAGTGAAAGGAGCAGGTAGGAATTCGGCAGTCTCTAATCCAAAAAAAAAAAAAAAAAAACCCAACCAAACCTGTTGCTGTCAAGTAGATTCTGACTCATAGCGACCATAGAGGACAGAGTAGAACTGCCCCATAAGGTTTCCAGGGAGTGGCTGGTGGATGTGAACTGCTGACCTTTTGGTTAGCAGCCAAGCTCTTAACCACTGTGCCATTTAACGTCACTAGAAAACCTTGTTTTCATTGCATGTGTTGTTACTGTAAAACTATTTTAGAAGGCAGACTTCTTATGAGGCCAGCTTATGCGTATGATAGTTTGCTTTATGTGGTATTTGGTTTTGTAAATCAAAAAGAAAGAATTTACATATCTGATATTATAATAATTGGTGATTTCTGAGTATGGCTTCATTAACTAGTTTTAAGGAAAATATGCCCGTTACATAATTCTACTTCACTAGTAAAGTAAAATGATAGAAGTTGTCTTAAACATGAATATCAAAAGGCATTCAAGTGTAGAACAGTCTTGGTAAACTCTTTGGGAAACACCTATTGGCAGAACTGGAAGAGCCTGGGTTGGTTAACCTTTGGTTTGTTAGACGAAGGAGCATCATTTCATGGCCTCCTTTTCATTTTCCAGCATCTGGAATACGATCATGTGAGTTACAGAAAATAGTAAGGTGGGGGTGAAGATTTTATAGTCTATTTTTGTTGCTGCTGCTCTGACAGAGAGTAATAACAATAGTTTCTTTAGCATTTTGAGGTTTCGCCTGGAGAACAGAGGATTATTTTCAAGCCGTGAGAATTCATGAGATTTGTCCTGCTGGATTTTAGACTTGCTTAGTAACTGTGACCCCTTTTTTCCCTCCAATTTCTCCCCTTTCAATGGGAATGTCTGCCCTTGTGCCTACCCTACCACTGTACTTTGGAAACAGGTAATTTGTATTCTAGGTTTCCCAGGTCCATAGATGGAGAGGAATTTTGCCCCAGGATATGCAAAATACACCCAGGGTCTCACCCAGACTTGATTTAGATGATTCAGAAGATGGAGTACAGTCGATACTGAATGAGTTAAGGCTTTTGGGGAAGATGTGACAGGGTGAATCGGGGATGGTGCGACAGGGTGCATCGGGGATGGTGCGACGGGGTGACTCGGGGATGGTGCGACGGGGTGACTCGGGGATGGTGCGACGGGGTGAATCGGGGATGGTGCGACGGGGTGAATCGGGGATGATGTGATGGGGTGAACTGGGGATGATGTGATAGGGTGAACTGAGGATGATGTGATAGGGTGACTATATTTTTGTGCATGAGAAGGACGTGCATACTGGGAGGCCAAAGAGCAGAATGTTATGGATTGAACTGTATCCCCCAAAATATGTGTTAACTCCTTGGTGGATGTGATCCTGTTTGGAAAGTGGGTTTCTCTTTTATGTTAATGAGGCCACACCAGCGTAGGGTAGATCCTAAATCTAATCACTTATGAGTTACAAAAAAGATCAGAAGAGGCAGAGTGACACACACATGGAGAAGAGGAAGACAGACAACAGAGACAGATGCATCTACGAGGATCGCTGGCAGCTCCTAGAAGCTGCAATAGACAACGAAAGGCCTCCACTGAGAGCCACACCCTGAATGCAGACTTCCAGCCTTCTGAACTGTGAGAAAATAAATTGCTGTTCCATAAAGGCACCGACCTATGTGATTTGTATTACAGCAGCACTGGGTAACTGAGACAGTTATTGAAATAAAACCATGAAGAAGTACTTACCTGAACTGCACAACCCAGCAAAAGTAAAAGCAGCTTTTTAACTTCTTCTGTGCCTTGTTCTGAAATAAAAAGAATGACTAAGTATAACATTTTGCTCTATTTCAACTCTTTTTTATGATGTTGGGGGAATAACTCCTAGAGATAATATTCACAACAACTTGACGAAAGGATTGAGTCAGTAAGGAAAGACAGTAAAGAGTTCAAAAAAGTAGATGGTATGTGCATGTATGTGTGTGTGCATGTATGTGTGTGTGCATGTATGTGTGTGTGCATGTGTGTGTGCACATATGTGTGTGTGCATGTGTGTGTGTGTGCGTGTGTGTGTACGTATGTGTGTGTGCATGTATGTGTGTGTGCATGTGCTGTGGCAGTGGTAGCAGAGGAAATGGGCAGGGACTTCAATTCTGAAGGGCAGTACAGATAAAACAGGCTTCAGGCTCTGTGCAATAAGTATCCTGACTGTAAATCCATGCCCTTTCCATAAATGAGTATACTATGCCAGCCTACCAAATGAAGCACTGTGTTGATGTAACAACATGCCACAAAGTCAGCCAAAATGGCTCCTAACAGGTCTGGCTCTTTTTAGGCTTATTAGTGTTTCCTTTCTAAAATACAGATCTCACATGATTCATCTACCTATAAAATTTAAATGGCTTTCCACTGTGTAGATTCATGGAGATCAAAATCTTAAATGCCTGTTACAGTCAGGCTAATAAAACAAATGTATGTAACAAGTTGGATAAAAGTAACCGTCTATAACAGAAATGGGGAGGGTGTGCTCTGTCCAACAGCATCCAATTCCGATTTTCTTAAAAGCATTCAGCCAGCCAAAAATAAATCACTTCTTTGGGCTAGAATTTCACCATGAGGCCAACCCTGCCTGTGATGAAGTCAAAATTCTCTTTTCAGACATTTCTTCCTACTCTCCACGAAACAACCAACTTTCTAGTCACACTGCACCACGTTAATTACTTACTCCCCAAATACGCACACATACACACTCCTCTGCCTTAACTTCTGCTACTCCGTCTTTCTTTCTCCCATCTCCCCTTTCCCCCAGTGAACTAGACTAATCACAATCCTGGGCATAGTTCTAACACCTCTGTGTAGTCTTTCCTGACCCAACCACCAATGGTCCTCAACCCTCACTTATCTGCCAACTTTAAGAATAATCAATGGCTCCATATTTTATATGGCTTAACATTTTGTACAAGGAGCCCTGGTGGTGTAATGGTTAAACATTCGGCTGCTAACCAAAAGGTCAATGGTTTGAACTCACCAGCTGCTCTGTGGGAGAAGCGACTTGGTTATCTTCTCTGGTAAAGATTACTGCCCAGGAAACCCTATAGGGCAGTTCTACTCTGCCCTATAGGGTCGGTATGAGTCTGAATCGACTCGACAGTATACAACAACAACAACAGTTTGTACGTATTTCTATTTTGTATTACTTATTACATGGTTTCCATTAATCTGTATACTTCTCACCAAACCACAAGATCCTCAGAGTATAGACCATTTCCTCATATCCCTGGGTCCCTTTAACTCAGTAGGCACTTAATAAATGCAAGTGGAATTGAAAATAATTATGCCCCAGAGTATTTCTAAAGATTATTTAAATTTCTAATTCACCTTATTTACTTGATAGTTTCCTCTATAAATATAACTGCTTGATTTTAGTTTTTATTTGGGTTTTATTTTTGTTTGTTTTGACTTAGGATAGGAGTAGGGGTTGGAGAAGATACATTTGATTCAGATTACATGCAGCCTACGAGGATAAGCCCATTGCTAAAAAGTATCTGCTAATTTCCCAATTGTTCAAAAATTAAAACTCTGAACATGTCACATTTAAAATCCGTTAAAGGGCAGAAATATTTGAAGAAAATAATTTAAATGATCTAAGAAACTGCTTCTCATCTTTATATCCAGAAATGGTTTAGTATAAATTAAAAGATATCAATCAATCAGAAAGCCTTAATTCAAACAACTTTTGCAATGGTAGGTAGTAGTATATGCAAAGAAACGTGGAAATTACTTCAAAATCACTTCTAAGGTTATACTTCTTTAGCCTTATAACTCCTTGTTATCTTCTGTACTTGTTAATAATGAGATACTGAAACTGTGTACAGAGATGTAACAGTTCAGTAGAGTAGGGAAGAACATTGGACTTAATGTAAAATGCATGTCTGGCCCCACCTACAACTTACAAATATTCTAAGCTTCTTTTCTCTCTGTAAATGGAACATCACCTCCAACCGTCCCTACAGAGTTGTGAAAAACCTAATGAGTTACTGTAAATAAGCAAGCTCTTGATAAACACTCGAGTATTACACAAAGACCAAACACTGTTGTCACATTACACTTATTTTAGTACTTACCAGAAAAGGGATTTTTGCCGATGATTAAGACATTTGGCAATGACATCATGATCAACTGCTGCAAAGTCTCCTGTAAAAAGACATTCCATGTTTGTTACATGGTTAACGCTGACTTTATCATAACTTACCAAGCTGTAACAAGATTTGTATACTTCTCTGTAGGTATGTTTTGTTCTAATTAAAAAGTTTAAAAAAATAAAGGGGGGGAAAGATATGTGAGGTCTTAAATCTGCTGTAACTTTAGCAAATTAAATAAATAAAATTACAATACCAGACGAACTTAAGTTAATAATGTTATCAAATGTCCTCAAACTAAAAATGTCCAAACTGAACTAGTTTAACATTTAATATTTGAAATCTGAGGTCCACATGCCTCAATAAAAGATCAAGCAAGTACACTCTTGGTTGTTATTTTTGTTATTTGTCTCTGAAGAAAGTAAACATGTCAACTGACATTAAAATTAAGAAGGTCACTTTATGTAAAATCCTGTCTTAGGAAGATCTCATGAACGCAAGCCCTTCCTCAGTCAGTCAGGGCTGCTCTCTACCTACAGCAGATGTTCTACTTCCTTAACTTCTGTCAAACTTTTAATGACAAGCATCTATGCACATCCTGATACTACGGGATGAGTCAGAAATAATTGAACGCTTTCAAATTACTCGTTTAAGGTAATACATGGAGGATTCACCTTCTGTCTATACCACCTCTTTCCCAAGAAAATGAAGAACACACTGTCTCTGCCATCACAACCCCTGACAACGATATGCCGCAAAGAGTCTGGGATGACTCAGCCGACAAAACTGATGTGTGTCATGGGATATTACTGAATCTTTGTAAGATTATAAAAGTAACTAACAGTTTCTTTACAAACTGGCTTCGACAAAGACAGCTAGTTAGCAAGCAATAAGTTTTTGAAAGTACTCAACTCTTTTTAAATCATCTTATATTTAATACCATGATAAGGAAGCAAACGGTCATGAAAAGTTAACCTGTACTGCATTTTAAAGTTGTGTAATTCTAGATCCACTGAAGCACTCTCCCATAGCCAGTGGGTGGCCGGATACCATATACCAATTAGATTTCACCTTTTATCTATAATTCTTTGTGATAATATACTAAAAACTTTTAAAATGTTTTTCTTCAGCATATATATTGGCTCTTTAAAAAACTATCACCAAAAATATATACACATTTAAAGAAAAGTATATATTCAACATGTGTATCATGTTAGTAAATACACTTAAGAATATTAAGGCTACTGTAAGTGTCAAAAATTGCTAAAATTACTTATTCCAAGGATCGAAACCAAGACTGGGTATTTAACAAATTTCCCACTGAAAAGCAAGTTGCCTCAAGGTAGAATATGCTGTAACTAAATATGCAAGATCTAAGTAGACTTAAAGAAATAAATGTGTAATTCATTCTAACTTTTAGTCTTTTTAACTTGAAGCAAACCAGTGAGGTCTAAACTGTAAATGAACACCACAATGAGAATCCCACTTACATGAGATATCTAGGACAGGCAAATGCACAGACACAGCAGTTGATCAGTGGTTACCAGGGGCTGGAGGAGGGGGAATGGAGTTACTGCCGAGGGGCACTGCATTCCTGCTTTTGGGAATGGGCGGTGCTGATGGCAGCACAACTTGGTGACAGTGATGAGTGTCACAGACGTGTACACTTAAACATGGTTAAAATGGTAAATTTTTTGTTATATATATTTTACCACAATAAAATTAAGAAAAAACTATGAGGACTACCATTTTACATATTTAAAAGAAATCATAAGTAAGAGAGATCTAGTAGAAAAAAAAAAGCAATCACTGTTCTGTCTATATTCTACTTAGCAGAGATAAACAAAAATCAGAACAAAGAACTTTTAAATTCATACTCCGAAGAGAAGCTGTAAACAGATCCTGAATTATTAGAAAACGTTTATCTCAATTTAAAAACTTCAGAGATGAAAGACAACACTCATTTACACCACTTATTTGGGGGTACGGTGAGTCATAACTGATGAATCAAGTAGGATTCATCAACATATTGCCAAGGCAATGTGTTTGATCAATTTACCCTGCACCACTGTATGTTAACACATTAAGTTATAAGCAAAACCGCCCAAGTAGAGAGTAATCTTTAATACAGTCCACCCTCCTCCCCAGCTGGCTCCCACCTCCCGCCCACTCTGTCTGCCATGTTCTTCCATCTTCCCACAAAGATGAAAGCAATCTGATATATCCTTTCACCATATGGTTTCATCAACGACTTCATGTGTTAATAAAGAGTGACCTTTACGCTGTAAAGTTGAAATATATTTGGACAACTCAAATTACTATAATAAACTGCTAACTTCAAAACCTACTTCCATGTCATCTAAAAATGTACTCTAGGATAGTGGAATCTGAATGCCAAGTATGGTGTACTCTGATGGAGTGAAGTGTGAATGCCTAGGCTTAAATTTCAGCTCTGTGACTCAGAAGGTATGTAACTTTTGTGGGCAAGGGTAGGAAGTGAAACAAAAAGTATAAAGTCTTAAAAATGATGATGATTATTAAACATTGCTGTTAATGGGAAAAGCTTATCTTTATTTTATTTCCAAGTATTAGTTTTGTAATGTTAGGAACTGCTAATATTAGGTAATAAAGTAGCTGAATGTGACACAACTTTAAAAAAAATTATTCTAAATTCTCTATTTAGTTCCCCTATGGGGTCTTCAGAGGATTCTGGCTATATTTTTGTAAATACTCCTTTTATTTCCATACTCCAATCTTACAAATCTCGTTAAAAAATATACAAGACATAAAAGAGATCAAAAGCTAAAAAAAACTAACTGCTATTAAGGCTCTACTATATCATTCCACACTCCCCGTATTTCACCCAGTGGAAAGATGCTCTCCACAGGTGTTAGAGAAATGGAACAGGAGAATACATAAATGAGCCCTAGACAAACCAGAAGGTAATAAGAGGAACAAATTAACCAGTTGATGGGTTAGGGACAATGAACTAGTGAAGTTCATGAGCTAGTAAAGATACTCCAAATTGTCACTGAAGTGATAAGAAACCTATAAGAAATTTTGTGAAGACTTTTAGCAATATAACTGAAAATGAGGAGAAGGTATGGAGAAAATCAGGATGTTCATTAACAAATATTCATTGAGTGTCTATTATTTGCCAGGCATTGTTCTAAACACTGGAAATACAGCAGTGAACAAACAAAAATCCTTGCTCTTGTGGAGTTTACATTTTAGCGGGGCTAGACAAAAAATAAACATGATAAACAAGTAAATATTTTTGGTGATAAATGCTAAGGATAAAAATAAAGCAAGGAAGAAGAGGAGGATTGGGTGGGGGTGGAGATGAGGAGAAGGATGCAGTTTAAGAAAGGTATGCAAGTATTCAAACAAAGAATTTGCGGGTTTTCAGAATCACTAAAGCGAAGTTTCACTGAATAGGTAGAAAATCCCTTCCGGCAGGAGGCGGTCCAGCAAGATGTAGAGAGCTGCAACGCTTAAGAAAGAGACAGGAACAAGGGAAAGCGGTAGAGATTCTGTGAGCACAAAAACAACAGCAAAGCTGTCGTAAAAGGCATCACAGGTAATTGCATTTCCACTACCTTTAGGTGGCTTTGTATAACTTTTCCATGAAAACTGGTATATTAACCTTTTTTTTTAGTTCGCCATCTAAAACTCTTTTTTATTAAGATACAAGTTCACTGTGTGATTTAAAACTCATGTTGCTAAAGCACTAAAAGAAAGACTCAAGTATATACCAGACATAAATATTATCATTTAGGTAGTATTCAAAGATAATTTAAGCTAGGCTTCTTTTTCCTATCAGTTCTCCATAACATTTCTTCACAGTAAGAAGTTCAATAACACTTCTGACAAAGGTCTGGGCTCATTTCCCGTTCCTAAACCACACACTGAGCAAAATGCTGTTATTAAAACTACACGTTTGTAGTGCTAAATATGGTTCAAAGATTTCTAAAATACACTAGAATGACAATTCCTCCTTTGAGAGGCTCACCATCTATTTTTAAAATTCAAAACACAATTACATTTGTCATACTGTATGCATTTGTCCTTATATCTGTGTTACTAGTGAAGACAATCAAGACTATTTTATCAAATCTTAACAGACTAAAGAAAAAAAAATGCATGTCTTTAAAAGGAAGAACATCTGATCAAAGTAATAAAAAATATGATGAAATATAAAGCAATTGATAAATAACAAACACAGGGTCTGGTTTTCCTGGCTACTGAATTCTATTAATACTCCAAATTTTGCTTATTTTAACAGATATTAAAGAAAAACCTAAAAAGTACCTGCCTTCTGTAGCAACTAGATTAACGGTACTTAGATGCGATTTTTGTTTTTAATATTAGTGACATCGTACCACACAAAAACTTCCGAATACACTTAGATTTCCTAACTGTAAAGTGTGCCTTTCTTTTTGGGCCTCCAATGGTTTAAAGCATTACTTTAATGGTAACTTTTTTCCGCACTTAATACTTGTTTAAACTCCACGCAATCTAGCCATGTCAAACACTAACATCTAACAGAGATCTAAAAATGAAGTACGATATTTTACTTGTAAACTGTGTCTAATTATCAAGCTTACTCTCCCCCCCACACTCACAGGAACAAAAATAATGTCAAAAAAAAAAAAAAAATCACACAACCTAGGTAAATTACATAACACACATAACTTACATATTTTCTGCCTTGAAATTTTTGAGTATTTATTCACAAGATAAAAAAAAAAGTACTTGCTATGGATCAAGTGATTATTTGAGAAGGTCTGAATTGCCATTTAAATATAATGAAGTATATGTTCAATGAATTTTCTGATAATCTAATGTTGCCAATTACCTCTTTCACAGCCTTTCATATTACTCCTTCACTGCTCTTATATTATTTATCACAACAGGAAGTTATTTTATTAGTTGCTTACTTGTCTGTTATCTATCTGCTAGAACATTAAGTCCCACGACAGTGGGGACATGGTTGGTCTCGTTCACCTCTGTAGCCCTGACACCTGGAAGAATACCTGACATTCAATAAATGGG